TGATTCCACACATTGAAAAGGATTTATATGTATAGATTCCCACCATGTGGTGCAGGGTGTGAAACCAGTGATTCACACGTTTTAATCTGCTCACAATTTGATTTGCAAGAAAAAGAACCATAAGAGCTGCATGGCATGTTTATGTACATAAGAAGTTTCCATTCCTTGTTATATCATTTTTGACTTGGAGGTGATAATGATTTTTTTTTAAAGTTGCTGTTTTAAAACCATCTCCAGGCATTTCATTACACCTCTTGCCCGCCTTCTCTTCCTGTTTCACACCATGTATGTGTGATCATGCTTATCACACACTGTGTTACTCTCGTTTCTGCACATTTTTTAATAACGTATACTTCTCTCAGGCAAGAGTGCCAAACTGAAATTGGTTTGACTTGGGGGGCTTGTTAAGATGTCTCTCTATTACTCACTGATTATAGAGAAAAATCATGTCCAGAAATATTGAGAAATCTGTCGTATGAGGAACAAAAAAGTTAAAATAAGAGAAAATCTTACACTGTTATCCTGACTTCTTAAGCAATACTCAGAACTTTTCAGCCACCGAAAACAAAAAGCAAGATGAAATTCAAGCAAAACCAGATTCATGTTCTCAAATTCCAAGTCAAAACCACAGAACCTCTTCTCAGGGTGCACAGACTGAAATAGTGTCTCAGTAAAGATACCTTGGAGTTTTAATCGATGACTGTCTCCTTCACACCTCACATCCAGCAGCTGGCAAAGAGACTAAAACTGAAACTGGGTTTTTACTTTAGAATCAAGTCTTGCCTGTCCTTTGAGGTCAAAAAGAGACTTGTTGTTTTTATGTCTGGAGATATGGAGATGCGGTGTATATGAATGCTTCTGCTCAGCCTGAGTGTTTTAGATTCACTTTATCTCTGCGCTTTAAGGTTTATCACCAATTTTAAGTCTCTTACTCATCATTCTTTGTTGTACTCTCGTGTTGGATGGTCAGATTTGACCACACGAAGGAAAAAACACTGGCATATTTTAATTTACGAATGTATTTTAGGCTTGCTTCCTCGTTATTTACAGGTTTTTATTTGTATAAAAGCTCCAAGTGGTTCCAGTCTGCGGGCCCAGGATCTACAGTTGTTCCCAAGGCGAGAAGTGAACGGGGGAAAGAAAGCTTTTAAATTCGCTGCTCCCTCCACCTGGAACACTTTACAAAAAGACCTGAAACTTCAAGAGCTGGTTTCTTTAAATACCTTTAAAGCTTTATTTTGCTAGTTATGTTTCTGATCTCTGCTGATACGTTGATTAAATGTAATTTCAACATGTATTAGAGTCTGATGTATGTGTGGATGCTGCTGTGACCTCGTCTGTCTGTCAATTGTGCTGCATCCTGTCTTGGCCAGGACACTCTTGAATGAGAGATTTTTAATCTCAGTGAGCCTTTTCCTGGTTAAATAAAGGTTAAATAAAAAAAAAAAATGTAAACAGTAATACCAGAGAAATAGATGTAATTACACCACAAATGAACACATCTGACTTAGAAACTGTGGTATCACTTTATACTAGTAGTATTTCAAGACAGACTAGTAGAAAAATACATCAGTTAAAGTAATCTCAAGGTAATGAAATGTACTGACTAAACAGATGGTATGTTGTCCCAAAAGACTCGAGGCTTTTCTAAAAAATCTTTTGGAACAATTGTGGCTAAAATATGCCATACATTGTGGATTTTCTATTTTCTTTTGATGTCTAGAAATCATCTCACAACCCACCGGTGTCCTCCGACTCCCGCTTTGCAAACTATTGCTTTCCATCTGGTCTGCAGGGTGGGGAGATGGAAAAAAGGAAACTTCAAGTCGAGGCAAGCTTTCACCCCGCTGAGTCCTCGACACGCTTATGTAACGCTTCAGTAAATATACCGATAAATCAGTAATCATTAACCTTACATACTGTTTGGCAGTTTAAAAAACAAATAAATAAAAGTTAAATTTTAAATTTTATTTAAAAATAAATAGAATAATTACTTTGTCTGATCTCCTATCTGCTGAATAGCTCCATTAAAACCTGAAACACTAACCTCAGAGAGGCTTGAGGAACGGCTCTTCTCAGAGAGGCACAGGTCACTACACATGATGTTAAAACACGATTAAAATCTTCTTCCCATGTTATACTAGAACTACATTTTCAACACAGTGTCCTCGACTGTTCGAGTCAGCATTCGTGTTTCAAATCAGCGAGAAAAAGGTGAAACTTAGCCTGAGGTGCAACACTGTTCTGTCTGCATATTAATTCTCCCTGAGGTGTGGACGACATGAAGTGCTGATTTTGTTATTCATGTGCTCCTAATTACTGCCAAAGTGCCCTTGAGAAAAATAAAAAAAATTTAAAAAAAGGGAAAATCTCGATGTATGTTAACTTTTTATTTCTTTCTACGCAATGAAATGCATTTTATGGGGATTCTATGGGAATTTTCCTACAATTTCATGGTAATTTTCCTGCAATTCTATGGGAATTTTCCAGCAATCTACCCTCAATTTAATGGGAATTTTATGGGAATTTTCCCTCAATTTTGTATGTCAGTTTTTTTTTCTTTCTTTCTACCAAACCAACTGAACTTCGTATCCATGGGGAGGACATTTTAATGTGCAGGCTAACCCTTCCTCTCAACAAGTCATCCTTCATCGGACTCGGCTTACAAAGAAATTTCATCATGGCTGCCACACAGTGAACAAAATGACTCTGACACCAGCCAGTCTTCCTGAAGCCACAGCTGTATGATAAAAATAGAATTCAAATACACATAAACAATTGTGTACCTTTTTAAAAACGCAGCCAGATTAATGTTATTTTTTTTAAAACCAGCTTTGAACGTTGCTGCCTTCGGTCACCTTGGCTTAACCTTTAACGACTAAAAATAGCACTTCCAGGGAAACCACCTTAGGAATTTGTTGGCAAGAAAGGATCCAGGCCGCGTCTTCAACCGACAGAGATCTTAACTGTTAACTGCCAAGGTTGCCGTTGGTTCTGCTGCCCTTTGGTGCATTCAAAACGTACGAAGGGCATGTACCGAAACTCAATTAAGACAAGTGAACACAGCAGGTTAAACACAGTCTGTTTAATTTTTATCTTGCATACACATTTGTCTCAGAACATGTTGTGTCATGACGATGATGTGGCGCAATGCAGCATACAGGCGGTATGAGGAAATAAGTTTAATAAAAGTGTTTCCTTCTGGGGAACAGGCATCACATTTACAGCGAACACATTACACACAGGACAAAAATCACACACTGAGCGCTTGGCTAATATAACAAAGGTGATCTGTTGATTTACTTAATGAATAACATGATGCATTAGATTAGTAAAAAATCGTTTTCATCCTTCATTTTTATTGTTTACCTTCATTTTAAGCTCCTCGAGACTTTAAAGTGGAGTAAACTGGTAAAGTGACAGATCAATAAAAAGTCAAAGTCCTTCAAGAAATACTGTCTGAAGTGGTCGATACATGGTGCAAACCCCATCGAAGAGTCATTCTGACACATGCAGACATGCAGAAGAGGCAAACGTCTCTTCAGTAGGCAGTCAGGTCACTGCAGGGGCAGTTTGGCGAATGCAGAGGTGGGTGTCCGGGCCGCCGCAGGATGGTCACTTTCACCTAAAAATAGACAAACCCTTCAGTTGGACCGCCTGCACACATATAAACATAAATCCTCAACCCTGACATGTGCTTGTGTTTTGGCATTTGGGTGTAAATGTACCTCATTCTTGAGCGACTTGCTGATGTACATGTTGAACTCCTCCACGCTGCTGGCGTGCAAGTCATTAATGGCCAGAATTTGATCTCCTTTGTGGAACAGGCAGACCGACTGCGGCTGCCCCGTCCATCCAGACACACTGTCACACACACACACACACACACACACACACACACACACACACACACACACTCATGTTTTTAGATACACACAGTTGTAAACAAAACCTCTCATACACTTGTAAAAACAAAACAAACAAAAAATATATATATCATGGCAGTCTTGAGTTCCAATGACTCCTATAGCTAAATATTCTCTGATGGAATCGCTGATGAAACACATGCCTTTGTAACAACAAACCTACAAACATAGATTCATAGATTTATTATAGGTGTCTTGGAAAAATAACAAAATCTATTGGTTCAAAAATAAACACACAACAACTGAAACGATCAGTTTTGGTGATGTAGTGAGTTATTGGGAACTCCAGACTGTCCTGATATACGTGGTGTTTCTAAGCGAATGTAAACTTTTGCTCACTGCAGTTTGGCTCTGGTACAGATTCAGTATGAAGTCATGTATTGGTTTGGGGTGTGGTTCTGAAGACCTTTCATCACTGAACCAGGAGACTTTATTGGTTCTACTGATAAAAGATAAACTATGAAAAGGACTTACACTCAAACTGCAAGTCACGCTGCTCTTGACTTTGGCCCTTTATAAGATTAGATTCATTAAGACGACAATAAATGTAGTTTATTCTGTGGGTTTTTGCTGGACCTCTGCAGCCACGGTGCCCCACAATCTCTCATTTCCTCTGAATAACTACTGAAAGCAAAAAACCTGTATTTGACGCTGCTGGCTTGCGTATCTCCATACAGGAGACATTTCAGGTGTGTTGTTCACTCATCTGTTTGGCGCACGTCTCGTGGAACAGATGAACTTCTATCTAATTAATCTAGCTTCTACAGATGCTATGTCAATATTGTGTCGGATGACCTGCACTAAATGCTGCACAATAAGTTCTGTATAATCACTGGTGGAGGACTGAAGCTGCTGCTCCGCTAACATGCTGCCTTCACTGCCTGTGCTGATATTGTAATCGGCTCAACATTAACAGTGTTTTAGGATCATCTCAGACACGCTGCTGCTGCATCAACAAAGTCTTAATAGGTTAACACAGAACCAAATACTGTAATCCCAAAAGAGCCGAACTAATAACTCAATTTATGACATCTTAACGGAGCCCCAGTGTTACAAATGACGTATGCTTCGTCACAGAGTCTGTGGATGTTTTATCTGCATTTCAAAGGACTCGAGGAATTTGGGTTTTGTGCATTTTAACCAATTAATGCAGTTGCTAAATCCCAGTATGAATATATAAACTTGCACACAATGCAGCTGAACGGTCTGAATCATCAGCTGAATAGGCAGCCGCTGCAGCAACAGCATTAAGCCTTATTAAGCATTAACACTGTTTGTCAAAAAGAGCAAGTAAGGACACGCTGCATCGCTGCCAGCTTAGCCTGATGTGTACTGGCTTTCAAACAATGGGAATATGTGGCTCATTTGTAGTGATGCATTTGTACCCATATGTTGTCTTTTAGATAAGGCTCTTCAGATACATATCTGAATGACAGCTGGACAGAGGTGACCTTTGTATTTATACAGTCCTACCTCGGTCTCCCGTCCACTTCTGTTACTGAAAGGTGCTTTTTCAGATCTGCCTGCTTCACCTCAATATCTCTCTCCATGGAGTTGAGGCTTGAAAGAAAGAGGAAATACAACAAAAGCTTTATTTAAATAGTACTATACACAAACACACATAAATCTGCCTTTCATCACAGTTGAAACATTTGCTGTATTTTTGGAATGTAAAGTGAATAAATTCTCACAGGATATCAATAGAATTATGGTGGAAATATACTGTTTTGGTTTGACTCTCTGGATTCAATTATTCTTCTCGGGATGTGGTCAGCAAGCACAAAAGAACGACGATTTGTGCTTATTCCATTCGCCATTATGCACGGCTGAGTGTCTGCACCGATAAGGACTTCTGATTTCTTTTGTGCAAGTCATTTCAGTTCTGGCAGCAAAGTTGTTTAATGTTGAAGTACTGCTTATTATTAATCAGCTATTATTATACCAGCCTCCGCGTCCAAGTATCTCCAGAAACAGCTCCAACCGGTCGGGCAGCATGTCGGCGTCGTCGCGAGCATTCTTGTTTTACTGAGTCACGCTAAATGCTGCAATGTCTTCTTTTTTAATTTGCTCTCTGTCATCGTAACAAAGCTGTTTTCTGACTTTTTGATCGGAGCAGACGGTGCCGCAGTGGGGGTTTCAAAATGTCTCCTCGTGTTGTTTACAAGTAGGGCAACTGTTGAATGAGGGTACTGATTATCAAATCCCAAAAATGTCCCTGTCTGTGGCGCAATCAGTGTGTTTAATTATAAAAAAACAACCCAAATACATTGATTGAGGGTCAGAGGATAGTTGTTAATCTCACCACTCTCGGGAGTCTTGTTTCTCTAATGTGTTCCCGCTTCTTCTCTCCAGCGTCTCCGCAGGGGAGGTGGCACCCGTGTCACTGGAGCTGCTGCTGAAATCTGAAGACGGCTGTGTTTCTTCTCTGGAAGACCAAAAAGAAATGGCACGAGGGATTTTAACATCTGATCTCGGTACGTGTCAGCTAATAGTCACCAGTGTATTCGTGGTTGATGTCTAACAAAAGACCACGAGACAGCTCGGAGGCACGGAGGGAGTAAATTGCAAAGAGGATGTCGTGTATCGTGTAACGCTTTATGCTAAATATACCCACAAAAACTGCAAAATGATGCAAAGGAAGAAACCCATCTGAATATGAACACACTGCGGTGGGATGACTCACAGGCAGACACATTTTGGCACTTTCATAAAAGCCTTGAATGGACAGAAGTCTACAACTACCCTTGTGGCAGACAGTGACACCGATAAAGGACGGAGAAAGCGTTGGGGATGCAAGAGAATCAAAACAAGCTACTTTCAGTTACATAAAAAGGGGATCAAATGTCTTGAGATTATTCAAAATAGTTCCAAAAAAGCAGCATGGGAGAAGCAAATAATTCCCAAATCAGCGTAGAGGCACTGGAGGAATTCTAATTAGGAGGCACTTTACAAAGGAGTCTTTTGACCCATATGCCAAATGTAGTGCAGAAGATGGTGTTCAGTGTGGCAGCACAGCAGTTGGCCAGAAATCAAACATCAGAGTGAAATGAAAAGCTTGTTTCGTAGCAGATTTAGCAAAGCAAACAGCGGCAGGAGATGAAGGCATAGAATAGGTTGAAAGGACCAGAACAACTGATCCTCTGCTGATTAAAACAATGGTAGACAAGTGACTGGCTAAGCCCTGCAGAAGATTTGACATGCTGCAGAAAGTCAGACTTTCACACCTAAAAGTGGTGGCACTGCAGCCTCAGTGTTTCATGATCGGTTTCCTTAAGCAACTCTCAGAAACTTCTAAGCTGTGATTCCTTAAACAATAAGTTAATCACGAACGATAAAGCTACAAACATTACTTTTGAATGCACACTAAAGTGAACCAGTGTGAGTTTTAGAAAGACGATATAGCACATTATTCCTCCTCAAAATGTAATTCATAATCAATCAGCAGCTCAGGGTGGCTCATGTTCACAAATGTTAAATATTGTGGAAGTAATAACTGCCCTTTGTGGTCAAAGTTGTTGAAGCCACAACATTCAATACAATACAATACAATACAGCACAGTACATGACTCAGTGCATCAGTCACATCTGAGCTTATTAGAAATCTGTGTCCCATCAACCACAACATAAACAACTCGGATAAGCAGAGAAACGTATAGTGCCACTTAGGTAACCTCTCAGACAAGATAAAAACAGATACGCTTTATCTCGTCAAGCACACAGGTTGCTAAACAGGCTCTGACGTCCTGCCTTTTTTTTTTTTTTTTTAGTCCTTCCCTGGTCCTGGAGTGTCAACACATCTGTTGTTGTGAATTACTGTTGTTTGAACCAATGAGACTTCTGTTGATTGAGCTATTTCTGTATCTAGGGCACCGACAAAACATGTTACAAAGAGCTACGCAAAGAGCATAGGGGCCGCTGACGCCAAAGACAAACTGAAAAGTCAAATATAGACACAGGGGCCCCAAAAGAGGACCATTAATCTGAGATCTACCTGTCTTCAGACGCTTCCTCCTCAGCAGGCGGAGACAGGGGGGAAATCTGGGTCTTACTTTTGTCGAAGACCTGAATGACTGACCTCATCAGGGTGCCTGCGGGGACCTCCTCGACTCCATAGTCCCTGGAAGCATTTGGCAAAAGAAAGTGCGTTGATTCTCCAACGTTAATCAGAAATCATTATGAAACATAATGGATTTGCAGTTTTTATTCTATAAATGAGAAAACTTACACTTCCTCAGCAACTTCTTCGTTGTGGGTAGATTCCATTGTTTCATATCTACAAGAGACGAATACAATTTACACACTGTAGCATTCCAGATAACAATCCCAGCATGCATCACTGGAACACAACTGAAAGGGGGTGTCATTTTTTTGTATTTGTGAGACAGAGGGGAACAATAACTGATACTCACAGTGACTCCTCGCCGTTTTCTCTGGCCTTATCATTAAGAAAAGAAAAAACAGGTAAAAATGACAAGTATAGTTTAAAACCAGCATTTGGCAGTAAACTGGATATCTCTCTATGATGGAGGCTTTTGAAGGTGTCACCTTGAACAGCCTCGCGTAAGATCTCGGATAGTCATAGATTGGATTCACAGGCTCGGATGCACGTCTTTTACTGTGATCTTCTTCCTGCCGGCAAATCACAAAGCAAAAAACAAAAAGTCACGATCCTTAAATACCCCAATCCGATGCTGCCTGTTGATTACAAACAGTCAAGTCAAGAAGGTGCACCTTTGTTTTTTCCACAGCGCTATCCATGGCGTTCGAGGATGGATCAGAAAAGGAACGTGCTTTCAGCGATGACTGAAAAAAACACACATACGGGATATTAAAACACCTACATTACTGTGATGTTGTCTTTGTAGAGAAACGACACGATTCCAGTCAAAATGTGCAGTGCATGTGTTGCTTTCAGCCGATCTGTGTCCCTGGATTGAACCTGCTGGTTATATTCTATATTCTTGCTGGTTGCATTATTTATTTCATATGTTTTCTCTTTTCTTATTTTAATTTTAGCTGACGAGCTCTTTGGTGTAATGTCGTCTTTAATTTGTTAATTCTTTTAACTTGTAATCTTATTTTTAAACAGCCTTGTTCCTTTATTTTACATGCCCCCTATTCTAGCTAGCTATTCATTTAACCTATTAACATCATTTCTATTATTTCTTGTATTTGATTGCTCTGCCTTATCCATCCATCCATCCATTATCTATACACCGCTTAATTCTCACTAGGGTCATGGGGGGCTGGAGTCTATCCCAGCTGACTCAGAGTGAAGGCAGGGGACACCCTGGACAGGTCACCAGTCTATCACAGGGCTACACTTAGAGACAAGCACACTCACATTCACACCTACAGACAATTTAGAATCACCAATTAACCTCAACATGTTTCTGGACTGTGTGGGAGGAAGCTGGAGAACCCGGAGAGAACCCACGCTGCACGGGGAGAACATGCAAACTCCACGCAGAAAGATCCCAGGTGTCCTCACTGGGACGCAAACCGGCGACCTTCTTGGTGCGAGGCAACAGTGCTAACCACCACCTTGCAGCCCTGCTCTGCCTTATGTCTTCCCCATATAAATAAAGTTATTATTCTTAAACGTAAACTGGTTCAGAAATTTGATTTCACAGGGATCCAGCACAAAACATTATCTGGGCTCTCATGAGGGCATTTCACTCAGACTGATCTAAATTTCACCTGCATAACAAAGGGTGTCGTGGGTTCCTTTGAGTTCATATCTAACCAGACTTCATCATTTTTCATTTCAGACACGGTTCTGAGTAAAATCATCGAGTTATGTTGGAGTTTGATTTGTACCAAGCTGTGCAGAAACGAAAGAGGGGATCGCAACAACAGCACCAACACGAGGAATCAAAGCAATCCCATCAACAGAGAGCAAAAGGAAGACGGACTGATTTGAGCAGAGTCAGGTTGACAGGATGCATGCATTTAGAAAGAATCAAACCAAATCCACGCAGAGCTTCAGTCACAACGTTATCAACCGACCTGTTTGAGCACAGCGGGTGAACTCTTTTTCCGCATAATGGGTTTTGATATTACCTGGTAAAACAGGAAGATAGAAAACCTGTCGATAAGCACAGTTAACAGATGACTAGCTAAACTATTAAACGGTTGCTCGTTCTGCCGGGGAAACTGAGGGCTGAGCGCCGAGTGCTGGGAAAAAGGGAGGCAGCAATGTTAAAGAGACATAAAACTTTCTGCTGAGCAATGAGTAAGATGAAAATATGAACATTAGGAGTTAAAGAAATTGTTATTCAGAAAATGTGCAGTAATAGTCTGTCTGCTTAGCTCAGCACAAACAAGGGGAAACAATGGCTCTGCTGGAAGGTAAAAATTCCTTCTATACAGGGGAGTAGCCTGGAGCTGTAACGCTCCTAACCTAGAAATACTTCAACAGATGATAGATAAAAGTTCTGGCATTTCAATATACGAGCTATGTTTACTTATTGAGCTTTAAACGTGCTGCTAGATGGACTTTTTTCTACCCTTGATCAGCTCGTTTCCAGTCTTTCTGCTCATCTCAGGTAGTCCAGCTACATGCATTACTGCTGATCTTCTCCTCAAACTCTTGATAAAATATTTCCCCAAATGTCAACAACTCATTGAACAGATGAGAAACACAGAATGGCTTTTGAATATTCACCTCAACTGTTGTCTGCTTCTGTGTCAGATCCTGTGAGGAGAGGGAAATGATTCTCATTAGTGAGCACACAAGAAAGATGCAAAACTAAAGAAGAGGTAAAGCCTGGATGTACCTCTGTACTGAGAAATTTATGCGGACGGTTTTTCAGGGCTTCAAACAGGTCAGAGAACCAGCCGTCCACGTCATCGCTGGAGGGGAAAAAGAAAAAAAGAGGGAGCACTTAAGAAGGTCATTTTTAGTACTCGACAAATGATGGCTCCTGCGTTTAATTTAAAATTCAATAACCAAACTGAAGCGCGGAGTGGAAATAGTAACGTTTAACACAATTTAGCGGGAGCAAAGCCATTATCGAATGATCGGCTCTTCGTGAAGAGGAGAGCGGCGTCATAATTTCTTTTTTGATTGTTTGCACTCCCAGAATAGTAAAAGGCGAGAAGGGCAGGAGGATGTGTTTTATGAGGCGCTGTGAAAGTGTCAGTGGAGGCCTGAGGAGGAGGAGGACTGGTCCACCCGGCTGTGACCTGAAGCTTGGCAACACCATCACCGACTTTCAGACGAATGAAATGTATTGAATTGGAACTACACTGATGGAAAATGGCTGCAAAATGTTTGAAAAGACAATAAGACATTTTTAAAGGACTCATAAGTGGCTTTTATTGGCATTCTTTTAACGCCAATTATTGCTTGTTTTCAGACAAAAAGACATTCCTGAGTCTATCGCCACTGTGGTATGTTAAATGTTTTTAAAGTACAGTGTAGTAAAATGCACGAAAGTTGGTACCAGACCAATAAATTCTTTACATTAACAGTTAAAAAAAAAAAGACAGCCGACGGACCTGTTTTCTCCAACTAGAAAGTAGTCCCGTTCTGCAGCCCTGATGTACAGCACACAGGACGGGGAGCACTTGAAGCTCTTCTGGATCCAAGCCCATCTCTGGTGATTTTGAGGGCTCACGTGTAACAGAGAGATGCTGATAAAAAGGAACACAAAGACAGATGCTGAAAAGAATATCCAGGAAGTATGCGGCGTGACCAGAAACAAGCAACATGCATGAGACAATAAAAGAGCATGGTGGTTTATACCCTTCATTGTTTACATGTGCATTAGTCAGAATCACACCTTGACAAGTCTATGCTGCCGAGTGGCCGGTGCTTTTCCGCTGGACTCCTGAAGTACATGAGGTGACGCTGTTGCTCGCTGGATTGGAATAAGACGAAATAACGCTTCTTCCATGATTTCTGCACAGGACGAAATGAAATAAAATGAGAAAAGCAACAAAAAAAAAACAAAAAACTGTGAAGATCTGGGATGTATTGCACCAATTGGATCAAGTCTGTCACCTCTGTCGTCAAGCGCTTCTGGGGAGGAGACTTAAACAAGTATCCAGATCTTATTTCTGCCGCATCTGTGACTTGTCTGTAGAACACTGTATTTCCGCCTGAGGGCAAAAGAACAGGCTATTGTTCAGGGATCCTTTCCTTGTTGTGTTGTCTTTATTTACAGAGTGGACAACTTTAGTTTCCTGCTGTTATTGTTATTCAGGGAAGGGATCTATGAGGGAAAACTAAAGAAGTTATTAGGAAACATCAACAAAAACCCTACTAATGTGTGCGTTAACATGCCATGTGTTGGTACATTTGCACATTCCCGGCTTGTATCTTTTGTATCTTGACAAGCTGGACGGTAAAAACCGGTTTTCTGACACAACGTGACCAGTTCAAAAAAACTAACAGTCAATCAGTAAATACAGTACAAACAGTAAACAAAACCACAAGATCCAGATGCAGTACCTGCGCGCTTCTGGCCCTTTTGCATTGTGACACCACACCTTAACAAAAAAATAACAAAGGAGTCTATCAGTCCGTGTCGTTTCGTGAAAACAGCATAAAAATAGTTAACCTTTTACACAAACGGTGATAAAAATAGACTCGCTGTGTAGAAGCAAAAACGTGAAGCAGAGCTGTGTTCACAAACAAAAGCAATAAAGAGGTGCATTTTAAAAGAACACATTCTTGAATTTTAACACTAAAAATAACTCTCATACTTACTCCTAATCTAATCCTAAGTATGCAAGTAAATAAGATTAATAAGTCTATAGTAGGTATGAACAAAATTAAAACACAATTAAACTCACTTACTCTTGCTTCCAGTTCTGTGCCACTTTACAGATAATTAAATGAGGAATATTATATAGAACCGAGGAACAAATGTACAGAAGCAACTCAAAGTCTTCTTACCTGTGGAGCTCACAGATCCTGTTCACCTCGCTCTCTGTGACAATAATGTGGCTGCAGGAGGAAGCTGGATGTTTTCTTGTGCCTGGCAAACAGTTACAAGATTTTCATAATAGGAACTGGAGTTTCTGGTTCCCTGCTTCAATCGTCTGCTAAGGTCTACCCGCCCAGCTGTCATTGTACAAAAGGCCATGCAGGGTTTCCTTAGGATCCTTATTCCACAGAATGTTCACTTTTTAAAATAAAAAAATGCCAGTTTCCAGTCGTAAATGAATAATAATTTTATGTTAATCGAAATCAGAAAGATGACACATGTGTTTAGCCTCCAGAAAGCTTAGAGAGGGAGAAAACCCCAGCTAAAAGTTGTGACACTGCTATAGCTGACCTGGTTGAGCTGGTGTCCCATGTACAGGGGAGGTCAGGAGTTCGAATCCCACTGATGGCCCTTTTCTGCAGATCCTTCCCTCATTCTGCTCCCCCACTTTCCTGTCACTCTCTCAACTGCACTCTCAAACAAAGGCAAACAGACCAAAAAAAATAAAAAAATAAATCATAAACCTTCACGTACACAAGCTCTACTAAAATAAATTGTCTCTTATTTATTAAGTTGCTTCGGTCCTACGTGCTCTTGTGAGGAAGTAATTGGAAGTGAAAACACATTTTACAGCTGTGGAGACAAAAGAAAGTGACTGATGCCAACATTCTGACATCTCCTGATTTACGACGCTGTGTCTGACGACTGTAGCTCAGAAACTGACATAACAATGGAGAGGATGGCACTTTTCAAGGAGGGGTCAGGGTTACGGCAGCACATCTGGACAGAAGCCAGGCAAATAAAAAATTGATAAAACCACATTAACATGGAGTTAAATGTTGCCCTGAACCACATCCTTAAATAATAATCATCAGTGAGCATTTTGTAGTCAGAACAGTCTCGAGAAATCTTAAAGTTGACAGCAGGACTGTAGAAGAAATAAAGTGAAACCCTTCTGCTATGACCTGAAACACCCTTGACAGGATTTTTAAAGTCATAACACATACAGCACTTACATAACCCCTGTCTTCCTATGAAGGTATAATTTGCATGATTGCACTGTTCCTACACTATATTTAGATTCATTACCTGTTTTTACAGCAGCCTCCAGGAGGAAACGCATCAATGAACACATACACGTTGCTGCAACTGTGTCCCAAACCATTTGTGAAATGCTTTTTAGAAGCTAATTTGGGAGGTTGGATTGGGGCGAAATGAAATGATATGCAAATGTCTCTACAGCAGCTGCGTTGGCCATCCTTGATTAAGAAATTATCTCCCAAACGGGCATCGGAGCGATCGCAGCGCTCAGATTGGGGCACGACGTCCTGCTGTGCTGCCACTTCCTCCGTGTCCTCTGATTAGAAATGTGTCAGACGAAGAAGACAGGTCAGTCTGACTGTGAAGTGGCAGCTTTTAGGGGGTTTGTTTCTGTTCGCTGTGAGGGTAACGTGTCCGTTGTTTGTCACTACATGCAAAGGAGACAGCTGCTTTTGGTGCGTTTGATGCTTCCCCGCTCGTGCGTGGGAACTATTTGTAACAAGGTCCTGGGTCACTGCAGGCATTTTAAACAGGCATCGGCAGCAGGACTAATTTAATCTCCTCAGGGTGGAGCTGCAACTCACGTGCACAAAAAGCACTGGATTGTCCGTGAGCTTCAAAACACCACTCCTTCAAATGTGCATGTGGGTCACACACACACACACACACACACCCATTCGCACACATACATCAAGGTCAGTGTCAGGCCGGTATTTATAGAGCTCTTATGGGCTTCATGTTTTGTAGGACGTGAAATAACTCTTCCACAAGGCTGACAATTTGCCCGATCGGTGGCCTTTCTCTGCCCAAAACCTCGTTTCCTTCCTCTTGTCTCCCAAGTTTAGATTCACAGTCTCTCCTTAATAAAACAAGCTGGCAAGAGCACGGTGGAGGCACATATCCAGCCTGTTCTGCCCCCCCCCCTACCCTGTCAACAAAGCCTTCACATCTGTGGCACAGTCGGGGCCTATAAAAGCCCCTGAGGTTGAGCTGTCACCGGTTAGCGGAGTTTAATCTGCACTCGTGCACAGAAAATGAACAGTAAGGTTGACGCCAAGGCCACGAACAAAGTAAGCACTTCCACTTGGGTTGCTTTTCAAGAGGAAAAATCCAAGAAACTGTCGATGACTTGCCGCCCTTTTCGTTTTGACTTCTTTTTTTGTCACCTGCAGCGCTCGAACCCTTTCTTCTGATTTCCCTCATGTTTTCAAAGGAAAAGCTCCTGAAACATCAGCAGCACTTGCAGAGACAAAGAGACGCCATCGCCTACAGGATGAAGAAACTGGCAGCTAAGCAGGTGGAGATGACAGTAAGTCTGGGTGACATCTGACTTTATTGGTTGATTTCTCACTTTTGCTGGTATTTAACAGCTAACACCTGCAAAATCACACATGCTGGGAGCACATGGTGGACGTTTTTGACTTTGAAAGGTTAGCGAGGAGACCGACAGAGATTCTGGTTCATGTTTGTTGCGTCGGTCCGAGAACAAGGTGTTCCAAAACATCCCAGGGCCAACTGTCATCATACTAAAATCCCAATGTCAAGGCTGACGAGATGGAATTTGTTTTCTTTTTTCATTCTTTAGTGGCTTGTCTGCTTGATTGCAGCTGACTAAGTGGAACATGGAGTCTGTCCTTGTGCTGCTCTTCCACATTCACCTGAAGGTTAAATAAGTTAAGAAATTTTGAAATGCACTTTTGTATATCTGTTTGTTTTTTTCTGCTCTTTTGTAATCCTCCTGGCTTGCCATTTTCCTGTGCACTTCCATCAACAAAGCACTTCTTATTTTTTTAACATAGAAATAGCTTTTGTTTATTGTGTCTCATAAATACTTCAGTTTCTGTTTTTGAATGTGGGCTAGTCTAGATGGTAAATTAATAAATCGGTGTGGCAGCAGAAGAATTAATCTCCATATTTGCTTAGTGTTTCAAGCAAAAATATCAAGCACTTCCTCATTCCAGCTCCTCAGTTTTTCTTCAGTTAATTCGATAATAACTGCACTTTTAAACTTCCGACAAGAACCTCCCCTTCCCCGAACAACAATCATCCAACAGCATTCTGTTACAGCTCACATTCCTGCCTCCTATTGTCTTGCGATTTCAGAAAAAGACGGAGGCGGTGAAGGAGAAAATCAGGATCAAGTATGAGAACATGAAGCGGGTGCTGGATGAGGACCTTCGGATCACGCTGACCCAGCTGGACGCGGAACAGGAGGCCGCGGAGAGGCTGGTGGAGGAGAAGATAGAGGACTGCTACCACCTCACCCAGGAGCTGGACCAGGAGCTGGCCAACATCGGTGCCGGGGTGAAAACGCAAGAAAGTGACATTCAGGTAAACGCACCTGTGGTTCCATTTCAGTTTCAGTGTCTCAAGCTGTTTTCTCATTGGTATAAAAATTCCTAACAATACCTTTTTTCTTTTGCACCTTTTGCAGAATGCAGAAACAGAAAAGAGGTATGATGACACTTGCTGGAAGCACTTGCCCCTCTTTGTTTGAGGTGTATGTGTGGGAAGGATCAGGGACTTTCAGAGAGCATCAGTATCAGCCGAACATACCAATCATTTTTTCTGCAACAGAGCGGAGAGTACCGGGAAATCTGAGTTCCAACTCATTTCCCAACTCCCTATGTAACTGTACTCACGGTCGGCTTTGACTTACTGAAAATAAAAAAATAAAAAACACTTCCTTATCCAAAATGGATGGCCAATCATCTCTTATCTTCAGCGTGTCATGCTCTCACTGCAAACTTAAGATTAAATACCATCCTGATTCACGTACATACTTTTAGATCCTGTTTGCTACACAGTTGTTGTACTTGGGATTAGTTCTTACACATTACAAATAGCTGAGCTTTGTAATCAACTTTGACCTCGTGTGGAGCTCTGTGAACGCAACCATCTTTCTTTTGCTTGAAACCAGAATATCCGAAGCGCTGAAGCTGACCGACCCCGACCTGATTCACCCCGACGAGTTCAAGAACGAACAACTGCTGGGTCTCGCCATCAATCTGCTGCTGTTCATCAGATCCCAGGTCCCCGTCACCAAGAAGCTGTTTCAGAGCTGTGAGTTCAACCTAAGCGACAGGTAGATTACAGGTTACACTTGCTATAAGTAGGAGATGATCTTTACGCCTAGCGTGCAGGGTAAACAAACTATCCGTCCTTATCTTGCGTAAACAACTGATTTTATTTCGTGCAGATGCTGCAGAAGTCGTGCTTGACGCCAACACTGCCCATCCCAAGCTGATCGTCTCTCCCAAAGGCGACACAGCGACCTACACGGAAACCTGGCAGGACGTCCCAGAGATCCCCTCTCGCTTCGACAGCACCCTGAACGTGATCAGCCGGGAAGGCTTCAGCGAGGGCCGCCACTACTGGGAGGTGGAGGTGAGCGGGAAGACCTACTGGGAGCTGGGCCTCACCTACCCCAGCATCCCACGCCACGGCCGCGAGGAGGAGAGCTGGCTGGGCCGAGGCAAGGAGTCGTGGTGTGTGGAATACTTCAATGGAGACTACACCGCTTGGCACAACGGCGTTCAGCAGGAGCTGCCTCTGCTGTCGGGGAAGCAGTTCACCCGTATCGGGGTGTACTGCAGCTTCCCCGGGGGTCTGGTGTGCTTCCTGGGAGCCGACACCATGACGCCCCTCCACTGCTTCTGTGCTGGGACCTTCACTGGCATCCTGCACCAAGCTTTGTGTCCCGGGCATGACAATGAAGGCACAAACTGGAAGTCCCTTAAAATCTGCGACGCTTCCCGCTCGGCTCCTGTTCTCTGAGGTGGGGAAGGAAGCAATGTGTTTGAATGAGGGGGGGGAGGCATCAGCTGCCTCATCTGACATTCTTAACTCCTGACACTGCCTCGGCTCTGGATACTGTGCGTGTCAGGCATGTCTAAATGTGCCTAAGGGAAATTTTAAAGTGTCTCTATTTTAGATTCACAGATCGTGCAGTTCAGTTGCAGGCCTTCCTTTATAGTGGAGACGCCGAACTTAACACGCAGCCATTCAAAACATAGCGAAGTGGTTATTTTTAAATTCTGAGTGTCGTGATTCAGCAAAAATATAGACATGAAAAACTGCAAAAACAGATGGAAGAATAGCACCAGAGAAAATTCTAGTTTCTCAACACTGAATTACTTAGTCGTCCTCAGATGTATTCATACCCTCCCATTAAAGAAGGAAACAAACAGGTGTCACTGAAATAAGTTGAAATTGACAAAAGTCATAATAAATAAATAAAAAAAAGAAGAAAATCACAACATTGATTTTGAATTGTGGTTCAACAGAAATATTAAAAAACAAACAAACAAACAAACAAACAAACAAAAAAAAGACAAGTAAACAATCATGATGGGACCCGTAAACTAGTATTTAGTTGAACAACCCTTTGAGCCAATCACTGCCATCAGGTGTTTTCTGTAACTCTCAGTCAGACTTCTGCACCTGTTGACAGGTGTTTGGATTTCACTGCTCATCAGCGAAGTGCTCTAATTTGTCCTGGACATTTTTTTGTTTTTTAAAAATTCTTTTTTTCAACTACAATTCAAAAACAATGCTTATGTCACTAAATTATAATTTAGCAAATTTTTATTTATTATTACTTTTTTCCGTTTCTACTTATTTCAATGACTTTTGTGAATTTTGCCTTTTCTTTAATGGAAGGGTGTGAATACATTGAAGGACGACTGTATATGGATTTATCTGTGATTAACACTGTCTGCCATAAAAACACCAAAACTGGACGATTTTATTTTTGTCTTGCAACACTGCTAATCTATGATAAAGACTGTGGTTCTCAGCCTTAAGCAAATCTTTGCAAAATAAACACAAATTTATATTTTCACTCTAAAAAAATGTCGTCATCTCCTTAAACTACTAGACGTTGGATTTTTTTTCGAGGTTACTAAAACATAGGTAAACATGTGCTAGGGACTATTTTTAGCTGTGGATTGGTACACAACTGGTGCAAGTGGGTGTTAACGGCAGCAGGTCAATGTACAATATGTGTCAGAATAAACATTTCCAGAGTGCCTGTGATTATTGTAACGAAGGAGAAAAGTATGATGCTCTTAAATACAGATAAATTCTTGCTCGTGAAACCATTTCTTTGTTGCTGACAAGTACATCATTAGTCTGATCTCTGAAGAGAAAGAAGTTCTCCTCCCATTTAAAGCTCAGGAAATTTAAACCAGACACTGAGTATAACTTATGAAAATATCTCCAAATCTATTTAATCTCCAAGTGCCGTCAGTATTTGCTTGAGTGTGCATGTGTTTAGTGTAAAAACGGTTCACAAACGTGCAAGAAAAACGACACACACGCTACATTACACAATAAATTCTTCATGTTTAATACAATAAAAAGTTTACATAAGCATTCCTCTGTTTTTGAAGTTATTTAAACAATGTATCGCCCCAAATTAAAATAAAAAATTAAATAAAAAAATGGGCCAGATTATATTTTATATAAAATTCATTCATTCCTTTTTCCAAATCTTTGCAAATATATTCCTGAGGACAACAGCATTTAACACCGGAAAGCATTTAAAAAATATTCTTTTTTTTTTGTTACCCCTAAAGATATTTCTTTTTCCCTCCTTCAATTTCATTCCAAAACAAGTGGAGCAAACACTCCTTTCAGCACAGGTCGGGCACCACATCACTGATCAGAGATCCATGTGTCGAGAGGATGCAAGAGTCGTGGCTGCACTGGACAAGATGCCAGTACTGATCACACTCCTGGCACCTTTATATGTCGTGTAAATGGTATTAAAATAATAAAAAAGTGACTGATAAAAATACAAAGCGTGAAAAGGGGAAAGCTCGACAATAGGTGAAGTCTACTGTGGAACTTTTCCCCTCAAGGTACTGACGCGTGCAATCATGTGAATAATGTAAGAACGATGCAGGAACAGTGAGTGTTGCAGACATGTGGATTGTGTATGTTCAGACTTGTAACTGCCAGTAATAGCTGCCTCTGTGGTTGACTGACTTTGGGACGACGACGAACTTCATGTAAGTTGTAATGACCATCAGCAAATGTCGTTTATTTACTAAAAAACTGATTTTTAGATTGCCGAAATTAAACAAATTCAGTTTAAATGGTGCGCTAAGTGCTTGAAAATAGTATATAAAAGAATATATATGTATTTTTTATTTGGCTTTTTAACTCATTCTAAGGCAAAGCTCAATCTTTCAAGTAAAAATAGTAAGACACTGCGTGGTAACTACGTTTTGGTGCATGTTAAGACAATGTACAACACTAATATACAGTGAAATGATGTGGCATTTGTGCTTTGGGCTCCAGCTCAGCTTTACAATATGATATTTCCCAAATTTGTAACACAGTTTTAGTCATTCTTTGATTGTCTATGTGGTGTAAAAAAAAAAAAATCCTACAGTTTTAGTCACAATATTAAAGAGGAATGTCTCACTTTGGATATAAGAAAAAGGGAAAATCATAAAACTGACTTGTTGGACCCTGACTAAGAAATAAGTGCATAATTTTTTAACATATGCAATTACATTAGGTTCACTTATTTGGGCTTGAACAACAAGCGAGTGAAGTGTTCACCATCACGTTGAGGATACTGGTTAAATTGCAAATGATCCTTGTTTTTATGGAGGTGGACTATCTACCGTGCACTTGACCCCAAAAATCTCATGGAACTAATCACTACACAGCAAAAGATTCACGCCTTCCTAGCCACTACGTAAAATGTTTAACATGACGTTTACCCACTTCATGGGACATGAAAGAACCTGAGGATGCCAGCATGCTGCTACCAACTTAAACCTGCTAGGAAGGCTGAGACACTGAGCCTTTGGCAAGAGCATCGTGACATGTTTCTGCTCAGAGGAGTGTCGTCATTGACTTTTGTCTCTTTTTTTTTGTGACGACTGACAGTTGAAAAACATCAAAACACAGATAGCTGAAAATGTCTCGTCCATTTTCCAGCTGCGTCTTTTAACAATTCATCAGTGGGGATGTAATCGATCCTACAGCGTTTGTGATCAGTTTCCTAATGAAGATATTATAGACTGAAAAGTTTAGGTGGAGTGAACTCACATGAGGTGACAAGATTAATTCATTAAAGCTTTTAAAACGCTCAACTCTCACCTGGTTCCCAATTAATTTTCCTGTGTAATGGTGACTACGCCCATTGTTGGACAGGAGAAGCCAATTTTCGGTAATAGCGTTCAGCTTTGGCCGCTCCTTGCTCGTCGGTGTCCACTAGGCACAGTCCCTTTTCAACATCTATTGCAAATGCTGGAAAATGGAGAGACACAAATTCAGATATGATTCCCCAAACCCACAAAAACTGGCAGCGAATTTTCCAGGTTGGTAGAATAACATGGATATTTCACAACGCCTGTCGACAAAGATCAGATCAAATGTGACGCCATTATTCTGAAGAAGAGGAAGAACCTGAAGAAGAGGAAGAAGTTTCAGCATCAACACATGAACGCCGAGTGCCACTGTAATCGTTTTTTTTTTCTTTTTTTTCTTTCCTTCATGGAGTACTTGTTTTCAGGCCCAACTACACATGCAAAGTGTCATCTGTGCTTCAAATGTGCAGCGTCCTGCTGGGCCCGAATCATCCCTGAATGCTTTGACCGCTTAGTCAGCACCTGAAACAGTCAGTCCAGTCAGTCGATCAGTCGGTCTGAGGCACCGTGCTGTGCAGTCGGTTAGGCGGGCGGTCAGTTGAAGTACAGTTCTTTCGTCAGCATCGAGACCACGCAGGGAATCTGCTTCTTCTCACTGAAGCGCGGGTCTTCGGACCAGGACTCAAAGCTGGTGGCCACCATGTAGTTGACCCGTGTGAGGATCTGCATGATCTCCAGCTGCTTGCCAAACTCGTTGAGGACGTTGCAGAGCGCCTGGACGAACCAGGATCCACGTCCAGGGTTTCTCCATGAGTAATATCCTGGAAAAATCATCATTAGTCAGCGATGAAACTGTGCACACGCTCAAACGCTGTCACTGTATTTAGCAATAAAAAAAAACATTGCCTCATATCAGACTTCAAATTCAGAACTGTGGCTTACCTGGCACAGTCGAGTAGGCAAAGAGGAAATCTGCCTCTACAGGGATCTTATGTCTTGGATTAGCATCTGTCTCCAAGGAGTCGTTTGGCGGACCCGAATCTGTCTGTATACCATCATCAAATTCGGAACCCCGACAAGCCTGGTGGAGTAAATGAAATGACATTTCATTGTGATCCTGAGTAGCTTTCTCAACGAAGACCTGGTGAAGCAATTAAAAATTAACTGTTTTTAAAAGCTGGCAGGAGCAACATGTGACACAATAACTACCATTTGTCTGTGGGGAGAAACTGAAAACTAATCTGTTTACTCAACAAATATCTGAAAGTCTTCATTACTTAAGCCCTAAGTTGCCCATTTGGGTCAAGAGTGGCTAATAGTTAGCACAAATCTTTAACTTAACATCACTGTTACACAAACACATCTTTTTCACACCATCATTTACACACCTGGATGAAGAAGAGTTTTGGCTTTCCGACTAAGCTTTTGCACATGTCCCCCCTGAACAGCGAGGTCATGGTCTTGATGGGCATGGCTCCGTCCGTGCCGTAGATCATGCCCTCCTCGCCGTGGCTTAGCAGGATACAGGCGAAACACGAGCTGTCACTATGGTCTTCCTCCGAGGCTGACCCATACACACACAAACAAACACTGGTCTCTTAGCTCGGCTCGGGCCTCATTAAAGCGCTCTGATCACTGTCTTAATGCTCCACTTTTAGGCTTTTTTTTCTGGATTCTTGAAGAATTTGAAGCTCCAGCTAAGTTAGAAAGTTCGTTTTACATGACGTAATGAGCTACTGCTGTATGGGATTCACTCAGAAAGTATACAGCATGTAGATAGTTTATTAAAGCATTATACACAGCCTTCATTTATGTTTATTATGTTCATTTAATTCACTTAAAATTTGCAGACATGACATCCTAGCCAGGGAGTGGAACAGAGGAAAAGTTATTCTCGTGTCTAAAATGACAGTAAAATGAAAAAGCTTCACCTCAGGAGCACAAATGTGATAATTCAATTTCAGAAAAGTCTGCCCATCAGAGTCACACTGTGGCTGGATGTTGTAACTTGCTTGGAAAGCGGATAAAGCAAGTAGAAGCAGAAGAGATTAAAAAAAAAGTCGGATAGTTCCCAGCATCCCTCAGTATGTACAGGACACTGGAGGAACACTGTTAGATCTGTTTCTGATTTAATTAAATGTTGGAGGACCCTATTTATGAGTTTGAAATATTTTAATCTCAACAGTGCAGCCTATTAAAATACTCAACAGGAAATCTGTGTGCTGTAGAACAAAATGAAAGACCGTTCATTGCTGATCAGGGTTTTACATCTTATTTTAGGACTCCTCACATCCCTTACTAGAAGTTTCTGTGTTGATAAATACTTAGAGAAACTCATCAGTTCAATGTAAATGTACAACAGCTGTGATGTGTTGAAAGTAGTTCATGATCTATAAAATGAATGACTGATAAATACCAGCAGCAGCTACACAACACTGTTAGAAGAATAAACCTTCAGCAACAGACAGATCAAATTAGAATCTCTCCAATTAAAAAGAGTATTTTCTCCAATGCGTCACATTGTTGAGCCAACGTTTAAACCAATCAGGTGTAAATCAGATGAGGGTCAGGCCTTTCCCATCATCCTCCATGACAGTGGTTCTCAAATTTTTTGAGCCACAACCCCCAAGATAACATACGTTTGTGTTTGTGACCCCCCCAATTTTAATTTTCAATATGGCATGAGTAATAACTTGCATTAATGCGTTAAAAAATAATGTGTTAATTCTACAGATTAGTCTCTTTACATGAATGTTAATTTTCTTTTGAATGAATGAATGAATTGATTTTATTTCGAACAAATGAAAGGAAAAAAAATATAAACACAAAAGAAAATAATTGAAAAAAAAAAAATCGCATAATCAAATCATAATATTAAGTTCAAAAAAGGAGTTGGAAGAAGCATACACTTTTAATTTTGACAGCCCTAATGCAAATTTATTTGATAAATGTCGGCTTAATTTTTTATTTATTTTTTTACAATGATCTGGCAACCCCCTGAAATTATCTTGGGACCCCCAGGGGGGTCCCGACCCCCAGTTTGAGAACCACTGCTCTATGGCTTGAAAAACTGCAGCCACTTGATGCTGTCAAGCTGTTGCCGACATCAGAGCAAGTCGGGATGCATTGTACAGCAATCCCCTGTGATCGACTCCGCCGGCTCGTCAATGAGCCTATTGATCGGTGCTCTTAAGAGTAAATGACATGAGAAGGTCAAACGGTCCTATTGTCTGCCATGAAAAGCTGATCAATGGCCTTGTAAATGCAACTTTAGAGAGATCAATGCGTTTCCTTTCAAAGCAGCACCCCCTGCTGTCTGAGTGTTTTAAGAAACACCAGTTATCAATTAGAGCTTGTAGCTCAGTTCACCAGTTTGTTAACTGAGTATTGAGTCAGTAACACTTCTCCTAATCACAGTCGAACAACCTGTTCGTAAAATAAAGACAAATCTGTGCTTACAATAGCTTGAAATCCAAAGCTTACTCTTATAAAATAGATCCAAGTACTATGACTTCACTGTGTCATTATGTTAACATTCAATAGATTTTTAAAAGGTCCCACACGCTGGAATAAGTGCAAGAGCCAAAAACTCAGCCTCCAATACGGCACCAACATCACCCACTACTAAAGAACACAGCTCCAATATGAAAGAAACAAGAAAAATGTGGAAAATTGGCCAACATGAAGCGAAAGACGACAGCACTACTCACCCTCTCTGAGAAGACGTTCCATCTTCTCGCACGTCTGATCGTTGTAGATGCAGACGTCGAAGCCCAGGCTCTTGAAGCATTTGAACAGCTCACCTGCATCTCGGTCCGTTCCATTGCGTACATTCATCCCTGTCACGAGAATCTATTTAGAACCCTTTTGTGCAATAATAATAATGAGTAAAACTGAAGTAAAACACAGTTGAAACGTGGCCACCGTACCTGTCTTCTCATCAAAGTTTTTGTTGTTGATGATGATGCACTTTCCCACTCGCTGGTGGCTCATCTTATACTGGAATGTTGGTGAAACAATTCTGTAATGGCTTTCAGAAGAGTAGTCCTGCTCCCGCGTCTGGCCATCCTTATTCTTCTTACTAACAGAGTCACAGAGGAATAGAACACAAACGGTTATCTCTTCACTATTGAGCTTTGGCACAAAACATTTTTAAGTTCAACTGCTATTCATGTACAAACATAAAAATAAGGCCCCATTGGCTACAAAAAATGAATTTTAACAACCTTTATGATAAACAAAATCTGTCCATCTTCAATTAGTTCCATCAGCTCAGTTACAACGTTGACTCTTACCGTACGCCGGAGCGTCTTGCGATTGAAACGTTTTCTAGAAAATCTCCTTGACTCATTTTACATTCCTACTTTAGGTAAAAAACGTTTCCATACATCGTGGTCATTCGACACAAGCAAACGGAGAAAACTTCCAAAACAAAGTAACGCACGCGCAACTGAAAAACAATCTGAACCACTCACTCAGAAACCAAAGAGTACATACGTTGTCAAATAAGGCATTAATGTCACGGCCAAATTTGGTCGCAGTAATCCACCGTCGGGTTAAAGAAGAAACTAGAACATCGTCGCGTAGCGTAGATATGAAAAAAAAAAATCCGAACCGCACCAATGTAGATTGAGCGAGAGGAAATGTTCCACGAGCGTCAATTCTCACAGACCTGTCATATTTCCATTCTTTAAAAGATCCATCCAGATAACTAAGCCAATAGTGGCCCACCGGGGGCTCACAGAATCCAGGCTGGTTCCAGAAGAGCCTAGTCATCAGGTTGCTCAAGCACTGGAACAATACACGGCAACCAACACAGCTCATGCACACACGCTCACAGGCAGCTCAGCCATATTCCAATAAACATGTGATCCAGAACTTTTTGAAGCCCCCTCCTCCCCCCTCCCACCTCCAAATTGTGCCAACATGCCGTGCCAAACAATTGCACGAGGGTGGGCAAAGAGCTGCTGGCCTGTTTTGCTGTGGGCTGGGCGCTGCAGAAAGAGGAGCAGGTACAGCAGGATGAATAGGAGGCCGTGGTCTTACCTGGGTTCGTCATTAAGCGCTACGCCACTCTGCATCTGAAATGTCTTGGTTTTTTTTTTTTTTTGTCTCGTTTCGATTTTTTTTTTTTTGGTCCCCCCTAAAAAAAGTTTCTCCAGACCCGGTAGCTTAATTTTTGGTTGTGTGCTAGGATACTGACATGCTCTCTGTACTGGATGGAGACCTGACTGGGCCAGCAGGTGCTGAGGACGGGGGCGGCGCACTGTGAGCCCCCTGAGTCAGCAGCCTCGCCACCACACCAGTGCTTTCTAAAGGCCTATTCACACACGGCCCCTGTGCCTCGCGCCCTGCTGAGGTCAGACAGGGCAACAAGTTGCTCCTGTGCTGACAGGCACAGAATCCACCTGTACCGACATACCTGCTCTGAGGGCCTAAAAACCTAAAAGACGCACAAGAAGGAACACAACTGTAAAACGTTCAGAAAACCTGCCTTCACCAATGACAAATATGAATCCTTTCTGACTTGGTTTAAAGACACATTTGGCCAAAAGTTTCAACAAATAAAGACGATTACCATCATCACCATTACCGTCTGCTAACTGGAAAGAGAGAGCACATCACACCCATCCTGGCCTCCCTCCACTAGCTGCCAGTGCATTTTAGGGTTTAAGATTCTTTTATGTGTTTTTAAACCTTTAAATGTTCTCGCCCCGCCCTACCTCTCTGAGCTTCTTCACCCCTAAGCCCCTGCATGGTACCTCCGGTCAGCTGATCAGCTGCTCCTTGAGGTACCGAGGTCCAAGCGAACGCTCAGAGGAGACCGAGCGTTCTCTGTTGCTGCTCCTAAAATGTGGAATGGCCTACGTTTGCACATCAGGCAGACCTCCTCACTGTCTGCTTTTAAAACCAATTATAAAACTGGCTTTTAACCCAACATGAGACCTGGCTCTGTTTTAGTTGTTGGTTTGTTGTGTTGTTTTTATGACCCCCCATGTACGGCACTTTGTTTCAGCTGTGGCTGTTCTAAAGCGCTTTATAAATAAAGTTGATTTGATTTGATATCATGTACAATAGACGTACCGGTTGTGGTCAAGCCGTATTAAAATGAAAAAGCTACACACCCAAGTCGAGTGAATGAGGCGTTACCAGTTTATTCTCACTTCTATATATGTTGTCATGTTTGCTATCAGGTCACTATAATATATAGAAATGGCAGTGAAAGACACACACCCCTCTTACATTAAAGATATAATAATTTCTCAGGATGTTATACAATGTTGTGTCTTTAAATGTCTTTAAACAATTCAGCTGTTGAGGAATTAAAAAAAAACCCTTTTATATATTTGAAACTCAAAATCTGAGACACTGTTTGATGTTTTGTGGCTATTACAAAAAATGAAATCCGTTGTTATCCTGATGTTTGGGGAAGCGATCTAAATGCTAGACGGAGGCTTTTTGTGTGATTACCTGCGTCTGGGAGAGACAACAAAGGTTCAGACTGCCACCTTGTGAGTAAAACTGGAATAAACAGTCCCCTGAGTCAGTGCTGGCTACTGGACACGCTTACAAATCACACATAGATGTAAGAAATTGTAAAAAATAATTGCTCTATAATATAATGAATTCAAACATGAGTGACTTTAGACTCTGCTGGAGTACAGTCTTATTTTAGGCACCCACTTGAGGACTGACCCCAGTTTAAGATTGTTTTCATGCTCCATTGCCACACGACAGTAATTAGGTTATCCAAAATTGTGTCGCTGTGTCAAATCAAGGTTATATATTTGATTTTTTCTCCTTTAGTTTTGATGAGCTGGGGAGCACAGCCACAGTAAGGTGTGGAACTGCAGACCTGACTGAAAGTTGTGGGCGATCTTTTCCTTTTGTAAGGAGTCCATGAAAAACTCCTTTAACTGTGTGTTTGTGGACATCAATCTAATTTTTTTTTACAACCATTACTTGAGAAATGTCACTACTGCATGCTGTCTAACTTTTAAAAACACATATTTTTACAACATTTTGATGCTAGACCTTCATCAGAAAATGGTTTAATGCAAAAAGAAGTCATAAACGTATGCATACATGTGCTGTGGATTTCTGGAGGCTTAGATGCTGTATATGTTGTACTGGGGAGGCTCTTGAGTAAGTTGATTATTAAATTATTTTATTACTGATGTTTTATGAGATCTTGTTGTATTTGTTATGTAAATGTATCTCTGCAGGTTTACCTGAATATGGAGCTGTGTAGGTTTTGTTGGGAATGCTGTTTGGCCCTTAAGGGTTTTAAGCATTCACATCATATCATTTTACAAATATAATGTAAACAACTGAAGGTACATTTATGATTGTGATTGTATTTTCTACATTTCTACATGCTTTTGAAAACTGTCCTGCAGTAGAATGATATTCTAGACTTCCTGTATCACATAGGGAACGTACCGCCACTATCTACTTTAGGAGGCTTTTCTTTGTCATAAAGCATTTATCTGATAAAAGTCCAGCACGGACAGGTTGCATAAAAATGTAGTTTAGCGAGTTAGACCGCATGTTGGACTCTACTTAAAACTTTTGGATATCCTCGTCCCTCTTCCATGCACCTGAAATAGTCAGTTGGCTTGCAATAGAAAGCATACTTTATTTCTCATCTGAACTGGACAGTAGAGCAGCACATTGCTCTAGATCAGTAGCAAAAAGACAAACTACAAACTGTCTGCACAGCAAGCTTGCAACTAAAGAAGATAGTGACATGTAGTTTTATCCATTTATCTGACAGCAGCTGAACATGTTGGCTTCATGTTGGAATGAGCACCCGGCTCACTTGTCCAGAAAAGTCGCAAAGGCACTCCTCTACTATCGTAAGTCAGAAGCAAGTCTGTATCATTTTTAACACTGCACAAATCTAAACTGCATGTCAACACACTCACGGACAGGCAAGCAAAACTTTGAAATGGTCTGCACTTACATAGCGCTTTTATCCAAAGCGCTTTACAATGTGTTTCTCATTCACACACACATCCATACACCAATGCTGCCATACAAGGTGCTGCCTGCCATTGGGAGCGACTTCAGGTTCAGTGTCTTGCCCAAGGACACTTCAACTGTGGAGGGGATCATACCGCCAACCTTACAATCAGAGGACAACCGCTCTACCACCTGAGCCACAGCCGCCCTACTTTGAGCTGTGTGAAGATTTAGAGAAAACTTGTTGCACATTTCAGCACCAATATTCATCAAAAAACATCACAGAGAACACAAAAGACAGTCTGTACTTACAAACTCACCACACGCTGCAATTTCTTATCTATTAGGCTACAAACTGAAATGTCTGTAAAAATAAAACAGACTAACAGCTCAGATTAAGACTCACGGATAACATCTGCAACATCAGGCAGCAGCAGGATTCATACAAGAGCCTCCAAATCAAGAGCACTGTGTGCATTTACATACAAGGTACGATGGAACAACGGCATCAGTTACTTCTATTAAAACTGATCTCGGATATGGAGACAGGATCACTTTGTACTTTTCATCACTTTAGACAGATGAGCTGTCACACACACAGCCACGGTTTATAAACTGCATTTACATCATTTGTTACATTCCAGCCGTCCTCAGGTTGAGTCCGGAGCTCCATCACAGCTGTCAGGATATTTTTACTTTAGTGTTGGTAAGCAGAGGTTAGATTATCATCACGCATGAACAGACTTTTCAGTGTCACAAACCAAACAGGTCTTTAGTAATTTGGACAGTTTGATAACCTCGCTACGAGTATAGACTTAGGCTTCAGCTTGTTATTGCATTACTGCGTATTATACAGTTGTTCTCAAATGTATTCACACCCTTCCATTAAAGAAAAGGCAAAATTCACAAAAGTCACTAAAATAACTAGAAACTGAAAAAAGTAATAATAAATAAAAATTTGCTAAATTAGAATTTTGTGAAATAAGACATTGTTTTTGAATTGTGGTTGAAAAGAATAAAAAAATAAATAAAAAATAAAAAATCTGTCCCAGACAAATTAGAGCACTTTCCTGATGAGCAGTGAAATTCAAATACCTGTCAACAGGTGCAGAAGTCTGATTGGGAGTTACAGAAAACACCTGTTGAACCACAATTCAAAAGCAACTTCATGATTTTCTTTTCTTTTCTGTTAAAAAAAAAATGTATTACTACTTTTGTTAATTTCAACTTATTTCAGTGACAGATGGTTTTTTTCCTTCTATCTTCCTCCATGTCACCTTCGCCCCACCTTGCCGAAACCTCGGCGTCATTTTCGACACTAAACTCACTTTCACCCAACACATTAATTCTGTCACAAAAACAGCCTTCCATCATCTAAAACACATCGTCTGCCTCCGCCCCTCTCCCTCTTTCCCCGCAGCAGAAACCCTCATTCACGCTTTCATCACATCACGCATTGACTACTGTAATAGCATCCTTTTTGGTACCACCACCAACATCCTCAATAGATTACAGTACATCCAAAGTTCTGCCGCCCGCCTCCTCACCCTCCTCTGGAACTCTCTCCCACAACACATCCGTGACACCACAGACCCAGTAACTTTTTAAATCCAAACTAAAAATTCACCTGTTTCGCTCTGCTTTTCTCACTTCAACCTTTATCTTGATATCTTGTGTTGTTTTTATCTGCTTGCTTTTATTTCTGCAAAGTCTAATTTTGTATTAGTTGCTTTCATTTGAGTTTTTGAAACGCGCTATACAAATAAAATGAATTATTATTATTATTTAATGGGAGGGTATGAATACATTTGAGGACGACTGCACATCACAGGTGTACTGTCTAATTCCGCACACAAGTGACAAATATTAGGAGCACACCGTGGATCTCTCCATCACTATTTTGTACATGCCTGAATGAAGCTTTAAGAAACATTAACAGAAAAAAAGACCAAAGTCTGAACGCCATAATGCCGCCACTTTAGCTGACTGAGGTAGCAGCAACGCTGCATGTCACATACCTGAAAATGATTCTAAAAGCACAGACCCGCATTCTAAAGAAAGAGGATGACAGCTGCCAAACAGGCAGGTCGTGTCTGTCAGGTTGGGCACAGCATTGCAACACAACTGAATTTCAACAGATGGCAAGAGTAACCGGCAAAATACTGCAAACCTGAAGGCCTCAGGGGATGGATTGCTGTCACTTGTTGTGCAACAATACTACAACATAAAAAGTGTGTGTGTGTGTGTGTGTGTGTGTGTGGGTGGAGGGGTGAGGGCATCATAATGAAAGAGAAAACTACGTTATAAAATATGCACAGTATCATATATGCCTAAAGTAACTTATATTTCTAACTATGTGAGGTTCCCACATGGATGCATGTATAAGTTCCCCTCGGCAGTGAACAGGCTGATCACCTTCCAAACAGCAGAAATCTTCCTTTGCGGTCAGGTTTGGCGTCTGTTTCATCTACAGCCAGCTTCCCTTCCTCAACTTCACCTCCTAAGTCAGTGCGCTCAGCAGGTTTTCCAGCCATCTGCGGACACCACACAAACAAACACTTAGCATTTTATCTTGCGGTTTGCTACACTTACCGCTTGTTTCCTTCATTTCCTCCACTGCTGACACCGTCAAGAGCTGCTCAACAGAGTATCTTAAACACATTACAGCCATCTAGCTAGCTTAGC